TAACTCTATAGTCCAGGCTGGTTTCAGCTCTTCCCAGTTGTGAGATTACAGGTGTGACCACAACATGTGAGATTACAGGTGTGTACTCCGTAGCATTTGAATCTGCAAATTGAGCATAATCTTATTTTTCATTTACAGACGCTCACCCATAGTCATTAGTGGCAACATTACCTGACTCATTTCCCTCTCTGCTTCCTAACCCTTCCTTTTTTCGAGAAAAGGCTGCCCTCAGAAAGAGCTGCAGCATCCCTCCTACCCAGCCTTCTATGCGCTAGGATTGTCAGTGAGCTGACACACTCAGCACTCACTCTTTTCTTTGTGAACAAAACAAAAGTGAATAAGAAAGCTCAAAGTATAAATAAATCAGTCATCTTTACCGATTCCCCTGTCCTCCCCAGAAGTAACTCCTTTTAAAAGACACCCCTGACCTCCCTTTGTTCCCAGGCAGCTCTGTTCATTGTTCCTTAGTATTCCATGGTGAAGCAGCGTGAGGCTCCATCCCCAGTGCCAACAAAGGGAAAGAAGATGTTATTTTTGATCTTTTTTTCCCCCGTGATGCTGCAGTTTGCACCTTTCACCAGGCACATGCTCCACCACTGAGCAACATTTCCAGCTAGCTGGCTTGGTTCAGCACATAGATGGATGTAGATGCTTCATAATTGACTGAACTGTTGATATATATGGAAGCTAAAAAGAAAAAAAAATACAAATCATAAATTCTGTTGAATGAAGTGTTTTGTGCTCCATTGTGAGTGGCATTATCCACCTGTAGGATAGATTCAAGAGGCAAAGAGAATTTTGTGATTTTTGCCACGTTGCCTTCATTGAAAAAAATTGAACCTAGCCCAGAGTGGTGATACCTGCCTTTAATCACAGTACTCAGGAGGCGGAGGCAGGTGGATCTCTGTGAGTTCGAGGCCAGCCTGGTCTACAGAGTTGAGTTCAGGATTGCCTGGGCTATATCAAGAGAGACCCTGTCTCCATCCCCATGTCCACCCTTAGTGTTAAGGCTGGGAGGTGTGGTATGTGTGTAAGCATAGCTTGTGCTTCTAGCCAGATTGTGGGAAGTCTTGAGGCTTTTTCTTAGCTTTACTTCTAAAGTCAACAGAGTATTTGTTACTTGGGCAATTAAAATACAAATCTACTGCCTCAGTTACTCTGTATCCCTAAGAAGTCAAGGGACAAAATAAGGGAATTTATTTGCAGTTTTGGCCTTGGAGGAGGGGGAAGAATCTAATACCCTTCCCACAGTGGCCTATTCAGAATCCATGGAAAGCCCGGAGACAAAAGCGGGTGTAATGTAAATTAACTGTGGCTTGGGATGATCTGTTTTTTTCTGGGTGGGGGAGGGGACTGGGTCCTGCACTGCCTCAGAAGGGTTTATTTAAATCTCTTCTGAGTAAAATAGGGTCTTACAAGTCTTCATTTTGAAAGAGAAAAGAACATTTTGTGAGACGGAAGGTCCCGCCCCTTTGTCCCTAAGTCCCTTCCTTTAGTAGGTGGAGAGTTAGAGCGCTTGTTGTCTTGTGGCGGATTCCTGCTTCCTTGGAATTTTGCAAGTGAAAAAAAGTTAATTATCTGAGTCAGTCTTTCTAGAATCTTTTCTCTTGTCCTTCCTTTTTGATTGATCACTGCATAGACTAGACTTCAGCCTCAGGGACTTGAAGGAAACAGTTTTAATTTCCTACTTGATACCTACGTGTAGAGTACATCATGTGAAGACTGGAGGGAAACATGGGAGAGTCCCACCACGTGAGCCTGGGGGATCAGACTTGGGTTCTCAGACTTGGCAGCAAGCGCCTTTCCCCAGCCTCACCAATAGGGACTTTATAGCTTTTTCTACTTTTAGTTTTTTTGATATTGATTTATTTTTATTTTGTGTGTATGAGTGTTTATATATGCATGTGCACCATGTATATGCCTGGTGCCCACAGAGTCCAGAAGAGGGTGTCAGAGCCCCTGGAACTGGAGATACAGATGGTTGTGAGCTGCCATGTGGTTGCTAGGAATTGAAACCAGGTCCTCTGGAAGAGCAGCCATTGTTCTTAACTGCTGAGCCATCTCTCCAGCCCCTTCAGGGACTTTCTAACTGACATACCTGTTCAGTATGCAGCTGAGGAGCAGAGGAACTTGCTCCAGACGACAGTCTTTTGATACGCTAACATCCTCAGAAGCAGGTAAGTCCTCGAGCACATGCTGAAGACACGGTTGACTAACTCACCCTGATCTTAATACTTGGTGATTCTGTATTGTAGCATCAATGACACTTGGATTTTCATCCTCCTACTTGTCATCTTCATTAGTTGAGTTGGGGTGGAGGAACTGCCTTTCTTACTGTGTATGTCCTGCAGCCTTGTCTGGCCAACAGTGACCAGATTCTCTTCCACAGAAAGTGATGGCTCTGTTCTTATCTGGAAAATACATTCTCCAGATACATTGAGGGTCTTTTCTGTTTGTATTCTTTGGTGATTCCTTTTTTCTAGTATCACGTACCACTTTGGTTTGCAGGTAGAAACCTAGGGAAGGTGCTGGGGAGCAGTTAGTTACAAGCAACTCAGTTTCATGGTTAATAAAACTTAATTATACAAGAATGAATTTAATCGATCTCATTAACATTACTTTTGAAAATTAAAAACTTATCATTCTATAGACACCAGAAATTAAGTGTAATAGAAACAGTTTAGAAATAACTTGTTCTGTTTTTTCTTCTTTTTCTTTTCTTTTCTTTTCTTTCTTTTTTTTTTTGAGACAGGGTTTCTCTGTGTAACTCATCTGTAAACCAGGCTGGCCTAGCTCACAGAGATTCACCTGCCTCTGGCTCCTGAGTGCTGATATTAAAGCTGTGCCCCACCACTGCCTGGCTAACTTGTCGCTTTTTAACAAGTATTTCTTCTTACGCTCCAATTCAGTTTACTATGGCATGTATTTGAGTATGATTGAGGGCAGGGCATGCCTCTGAGGTCAGAGGACAACTTTGGAGGTTTGCTTGGCAAGTGTCTTTACTCCCTGAGGCTTCTCTCGCCTGTACTACTGTCATAAGTGTCATATGTGAACATACTACAGACTAAGTTCTTGGTGTGTGTGTACTTACCCAATGTGTTCAGGCACACAGAATGTGTGTTTATACTCAGATAGCTGCATCTAGTCCGTGGTCTTGCTTTTTTTTTTTTTTTTTTTTTTTTTTTTTTTTTATGGTTTTTCAAGACAGGGTTTCTCTGTAACAGTCCTGGCTGTCCTGGAACTCACTTTGTAGACCAAGCTGGTCTTGAACTTACTGAGTGAGATCCATCTACCTCTGCCTCTCAAGTGCTGAGATTAAAAGTGTGTGCCACCACTGCTTGGCTAGTCCATGGTCTGTGCATGTGTGTAGATACATAGATGGATGGATGGATAGATGGGTGGGTGGAAGGGTGGGTGGATGTAGCCTGTGTGCACTTAATTGGTTGGTTAAAAATTACATTCCTTGGTTGCTCTCCCAGGCAAGACCCCTTTTCCTCTCCAGTGCTGGAACTTTCCTGTCCTTTGCCTCCTTTCCCTATCCGTCCTGAGCTTGCTCCTGCAAGTACAGCTCCTGCAAGCTGTACTTCTGTCCAGAGGGGGCACAGTGCGAATCTTTTGTTGTTTGTGAGGTGTCTGGCTGATTCAAAATGAGATCTGCAGCCTCACCCCTCGTGCTGGCCATTTTATATGAAGGTAGCTATTTTTTTTTTTCATGTATATTTTGTCAAATTCTTAACAAAACAGTAAAAAAGATCAGTTGCCTGTAAATTCTTAAGTAATTGGCTATATTTTATAATTTTTTTTTTAAACTTCTGCTTTAGAATTGCATAGGAAGCCAGGAGTCCCAGTATAGCCAGAGCTACACAGAGAAACCTTGTCTTAAAAAAATAAAAAAGGAGGGCTGCAGAGATGACTTAGCGGTTAAGAGCACTGACTGTTGAAGGACCCAAGTTCAATTCCCAGAACCCACACGATAGCTCACAACTGTCTGTAAACTCCAGTTCCAGGGGAGTTGACACCCTCATAAGGCATACAAGTAGGCAATACACCAATGTACATAAAATAAAAATAAGTTACGAAATAAAAAGAAAAAATAAAAAAGTAGATCGATAGATAAGTAGATAAAAGAGTTGAATGGAAAACTTTGGATTTAGATTTTGTTTTTGTAAAGATTTGTTTATTATGTATACAGTGTTCTATCTGCATGTATGCCTGCACACCAGAAGAGGGCACCAGATCTCATTACAGATGGTTGTGAGACAGCATGTGGTTGCTGGGAATGGAACTCAGGACCTCTGGAAGAGCAGGCAGTACTCTTAATCACTGAGCCATCTCTCCAGCCCCCTGGATTAAGATTTTTTTTTGTAGACAACAATCAGAACTAAATCATTGTATTAGGCATGATGACTTACACTTGTAATTACAGCCATAAATGAACCCTAAAGCTCCAGGCTAGCCTGGGCTATAGAGTAGTGGGACTGTCATAAAAATTAAAGAACTAAGTCACTGATTTTTACTACTACTACTACTGTTATTGTTGTTGTTATTGAAATTGTCTCACTATTTAGACAAGGCTGTCCTGGAACTCATAGAGCTTCACCTTTCCTCTGCCTCCTGAGTACTGGGATTAAAGGCATCATGTACCCTTACACAGGGCTGGGGTTATGTTTGCTATTTTAATGATTCTAGGCGTGAACTGGGTGGTAGTGGCACACACCTTTAATCCCAGGTGGAGGCAGGTGAATCTCTAGGACAGCCAGGCCTGTTACACAAAGAAGACCTGTGTCAAAAAAAAAAACAAAAACAAACAAAAAAAAAAAAACCAAAAAGACTTCCTGGGGATGGGCCCAAGACTGAGACATGTTAAATGCCCTACCACTGAATTATAACTTTTGGTCTTGGCATTAGTTTAACTTGAGTGTTGTAGAAAATCTGGCTGGTATGTTTGTAGGAGCAAGGTGTTGTATTAGCCTGTAATGCTGTTGTGTCGTTATTTACAGGTAGGCGAAAACCAAGAGTACACCGGCCTCGCTCTCCAATATTAGAAGAAAAGGACATCCCACCCCTGGAGTTCCCCAAGTCCTCTGAGGATTTAATGGTGCCTAATGAGCATATAATGAATGTCATTGCCATTTATGAGGTGGTGCGGAACTTTGGCAATGTTTTACGGTTGTCCCCTTTTTGCTTTGAGGACTTCTGTGCAGCTCTGGTGAGCCAAGAGCAGTGCACACTCATGGCAGAGATGCACGTGGCACTTCTGAAAGCAGTTCTTCGCGAAGAGGACACATCTAACACCACCTTCGGCCCTGCGGATCTGAAAGACAGCGTGAATTCCACCCTGTACTTCATCGACGGGATGACGTGGCCGGAGGTCCTGAGGGTCTACTGTGAGAGTGATAAGGAGTATCATCATGTTCTTCCTTACCAGGAGGCAGAGGACTATCCGTATGGACCAGTGGAGAACAAAATCAAAGTTCTCCAATTTCTAGTTGATCAGTTCCTTACGACCAATATTGCTCGTGAGGAGCTGATGTCTGAAGGGGTGATCCAGTACGATGACCACTGTAGGGTCTGTCACAAACTGGGAGATTTGCTTTGCTGTGAGACATGCTCAGCTGTGTACCATTTAGAATGTGTGAAGCCACCTCTTGAAGAGGTGCCAGAGGACGAGTGGCAGTGTGAAGTCTGTGTAGCACACAAGGTGCCTGGGGTGACTGACTGTGTTGCTGAAGTCCAAAAGAATAAACCATATGTTCGACATGAACCTATTGGGTATGACAGAAGCCGGAGGAAATACTGGTTCTTAAACCGAAGACTCATAATGTAAGTACATCTGGCCATCATTTTTGTACTTATCATGATTGACAAGACAGAGGTGTTGATGCACAAAACTTGTAGTTAAAGACCTTTGAGCTGGAAGGAGTATAGATAGGCATTCACAGGGTATTTTAAGAACTGGGCATTGAGATGCGTTCACGAGAGATGCAGACTGCATACCATTCATTTCTGTATTCGGAGAAACAGTGTCCTGGGTGTAATTCTGCGTGCCGTTCCAAAGCCCACTGGAAGCCTCGCACCTTACTTGGAGTTAGGGCTGCAGCCTCCTCTGTAGTTTTACCACGTGGTAGTCACGTGGAGTGCACTGGAGAAAACCTGTCCAAGCTGGGCATTCATTCTCGGTTGCCGTCCCCCCAGGAGATCCCAACATATGGAGGGTCATAGTCTCCCTGAGTCATGTGCTTTCAAGAAACAACTTGGAGTTAGGCCTGTGGGACAGGAGGATCACAAGTTCAAGGCCTGCTCTGCTCTGCTCTACAGAGTGCGTTCAAGGCTAGCCTGGGCAATTTAGCAAGACTGTCTCAAAATAAAAGTAAGCAGGGGCTGAGGATGCAACTCTGTGTCACGTGTTTGCCCAGCATGTGAGGCCCCTGTGTATAGTCCAGGAACACAGAACCCAACGGTGCAAAAGAAGCTTCCAGCGGCAGGGCGAGTGGGGTCATGGAGCACTGTGCTTAGCCTGGTCAGGAGGCCAGGCCGTGTTCAATTCTGGACTGGCTGCATATTGAGTACCCTTAGAGACCCGGTAGCGGGCGCGCACCACTTGGTATTTTGAGCTTTTATAGTTTTGAGGCTTTCTTCCAGTCCTGGGTCAGGTCAAGAGAAAACTGGTGACATGAACTCAGGGTGCCATGTGGAGGGAGAATGGCGCTCTCTGAGACTTGACATTCGAGTTACTGTGTAACTTACTGATTCTCTTTGCTGGAAGCCTGTGGAATTTTCTCTGTATCTGGGTTGTGAAGGTGTACAGTGATAGGCACTTGTGTGGATCTGTTGTCAGGCGTTGAGCATTTGGTTGGCTCAGCCTCCAGAGTGCTGGGGTTCCACGTGTTTGCTGCCACACCCAGGTTCTGAGTAGATGTTCCCCATGTTGCATGGTTTAACGTCTTCTGAGCTGCTTCTGCCCTGGTTTGTTTTGGTCTTCTCCTTCTGGTGTCTTAGGTGTTTTGTTGTTGTTTTCCCTATGTTGCTTTGTCTGTCCTGGAACTCCCTCTGTAGACCAGGCTGGTCTGGAACTCACAGAGATCCGCCTGCCTCTGCTTCCCGAGTGCTGGGATTAAAGGCGAATGCCACCTACCCCCGTCTGTTTTCTTAGTTTTAAGCTGCTGGCTAGTACTGTGAACTACCAGCTGATTGGAAGCTCTAGGCATGTAGGTGGCCATATCGATTTCAAGCTTGACCATGGGGTGGCAGTCACAGTGTTAGGAAGTCCCTGCTGTCTGTATCCTTCCTTAGCTCAGTTTACTGCAGCTGGGTACTGGGCCTGAACGGGCCTTTTCTGCTGTCCTGCTTGGGGCACACTGGCACTTAGAAGCAGACTACCTGCACTGTGCCTACAGCATTCTGTCATGTCATACCAGGCCTGGAGGCTTTTGATACACAGAACTTCAGCTCTGCTGTATTCTCTTAGAGACCAGACCTTTGGTGGCTGGAAGAGGAGAGGTGGTCTTTAGGAGTATGCTTAAACAGCCCTACTGCGGTTGTGTTTCAGAGTTGCCCGTCCCATATCCACAGCCACGCCTGTACTCACACCCATGTCCTTGGAGGGTGAGTCTTCAGCAGCTGGGCTTGGGACTGGGCTTTCTTGGTTTTTCATGATGGCCCTGATCACTTAGCTACCTGCTTTCAGCTTTTTAAATTGTCTTTTCCCAATCCTGAGTTTGTCTTTTTAAAAAGGTTCTTTTTGGTTCTTTTGTTATGTTTTCAAACAAGCTATTGCTGTTGGGGGCAGGCTGGCTGGAACTTTAGATCCTCCTGCCTCAACTCGTGTATGGTGGGTTATGAGCCAACATGCCAGCTGTGCTTTTTTTTCCCAAACAGGGTTTCTCTGTATTGCTTTGGACCCTGTCCTGGAACTTGTTCTGTAGACCAGGCTGGCCTTGAACTCACAGAGATCTGCCTGACTCTGCCTCCACCAATGCCCTGCTTGCCAGCTCTTTAGCATGTTTTTTTTTTTTTTTAAATAAATTCTTTTGACATTTGTTTATGTGGAGTACAGGCGGCTTGTATGCTATATACAGAGTACCTGTGTGGAAGTTAAAGAACATCTTTGGGAGTTAGTTCTTTGGCTCCTGGAAATGGGACTGAGGTGGTCAGCGTTGATGACAAGCTCTTTTCTTTACTCACTGAGCCTCAGTCTGCCCCTTCCTTTAGAAGGCTGGTTTCACAGCCTCTGTCTTTTCTTGAGCTACTCGTTTTGTATGGAGACCAAAGGTGTCCGGTGTGTGTTCTGGGTACAGCTCAACATCTTTGATGCCGATAATTGGTTGTCTAGGTCTTCTTTAGTTTTAGAAGCCTGTGAATAGTAGCTAATCACTTAGGTAAATATAGGCCAAAGCCACATTTATTGAGCACCCAAGAGATTGGGTGTCTTGAGCATTTTACATACAATTCTTAAATTAATCTTTACAATATAGGTCTATGCCTGCCTGTAGCTTATGAATGGTGAGACTAAAACTAAGGGAGATTAAGTAACTTGTCCCAATACTATATAGCTGTTAGCAGGTGTGACCTGACCTTGTTTATTAGAATGTTTCTAGGGCTGGAGAGATGGCTCAGAGGTTAAGAGCACTGACTACTCTTCCAAAGGACCTGGCTTCAAGTCCCAGCACCTACATGGTGGCTCACAATTTATAATGAGATCTGGTGTCCTCTTCTAGTGTGCAGGCACACACGGAGGCAGAATGCTGCACACACACACAATCAATCAATCTTTTTAAAAAAAAAAGAATGTTCCTAATATTGGTTAGAATATACCCATGTTGGCTGCTTACAGACAGCTATCTGTAACTCCAGCTTCAGGGGGAGCTAATGCCTCTTGTCTCTGCAGGCATTGAACACACTCTCTCTCTCTCTTTCTCTCTCTCTCTTAATTAATAATAAAGACATATATTTTAAAAAAGAAGACCCCCCCCCCAAGACAGTTTCTATATGTAACAGTCCTGGCTGTCCCGGAACTCTGTAGACCCTGTATACTCTTGTCTCTACCTCCCAAGTGCTGGGATTAAAGGTATGAGCCACTACTGCCTGGCTAAAAAGAAGTTTTTCTAACCATATTGTATGCTGCATTTTAGCTTCCAAATGACCATTTTGAAAAGATTGCAACTTGAGTTATTTTAGCTTTTAAAACCAATGCCATGAGGCTAGAGATATGTGGTTCAGCAATTAGGGTGCCAGTTCAGAGGATGAGTACATTGCCTGTAGCTCTTGTTCCAAGGGGCATGACACCCTCTTCTGGCTTCTTTGGGCACTGCATTCATGTGGTATAAAGTCCCATACTCAGATAAAACATTCATCCATACACATTTTTAGGAAAAAAAAAAAATCTTAAAAAAAAAAAAAACCAAAATGAAAACATATATGACTAGTTTTTGTTCTGTCACTGAGTGTCTGAGAGCTTTTCTTATCAGAAATAAAGGTGCTTTTAGAAAACACCAACTAAAATGGAACATTACTGCTTTTACTTAGTGACTCAGGCAGATGCACTCAGATAGAGCAGATGAAGTAAGACTTTGGGAGGAAAGGGCTTGCCAGTTTGAAAGTGAATATGCCTGAGCTTTGGAAGCCACAGGACTGAAGGACTCATGTTATACTTTTAAGCACTTTTGTGGACTAATCAGACACACGTTATTGATGAAATTAAATAGTCTCTTAGTGGAACAGCAAATTTATTCATCTAACTTTGGTTTGGAAATAACATTTTATAATATTCTGTTTAAACATTGGCTTTATCAGCTCTCATGTTGCAGATTTCTCTCTTGGTTCATAGGAAAGTGCACAGACTTTCACGACCACTCAAACAAATATGAATCATTCTTTTGGTTTTTGTTTTGCAGTAAAAAATTGGGTTGATTTATCTTTATGTGTATGGATGTTTGCCTGTTTGTATGTGTATCACGTGTGTTCCTGATTCCTAACTAGGCCAGAATAAGGTGTCAGAACCTCTGGTTCTAGAGTTAGCTGCCATGTGGATGCTAGGGATGGAGCCCTAGCAGTCAGTGCTCTTAAGGTCCTGTGGTGTGTTTTTACTCTTGTTTTGTACTTTTGAAACGGGATTTTCCTTGGTAGACCATGTTGCTTGCAGAGGTCAGCCTGCCTCTGCCTTCGGAGGGCTGAAGACGTGCACCACTGACCTGACTAACAATGTTTTTATTGCTCCGATGTTTTGAGTATTTTCTGGGTAATATTACTGAGGGTTCTTTAAATGTTAGAGTGATACTAAATGTTTGTGTCAATAATCAGAAGGAAATCTAGAATATTTCTGCATCATTTGTGAAAGTCAGTTCCCTCGTGGTAGAATATATGTAGAAGCTTGGGAAGTTTTCAGAACCATGCAAACTGTTCAATTGACTTTCTGTAAGCGGAAATAAGGTATGTGTTTTTCCCTGGAAGCCTAGAAATTTAAAATGTTGAATCTGGGAGGCCCTGCTGCTCTTAGTAGGGGAAGCTGTCTGAAACAAAGTCTGCCAGTGAGCAGTATTTTAACTGTAGTATTAATTCATAGGCTTTTTTCATCATTGCATTTAGTTAGTGGGCATTAATATGTTAATTGTGTAGGTTAGTGACATGTGCAGTAAGAGAACAATTCTGTGTGAATGTGCACCAGCAGATGCCATGTCCAGACTAGACTCCAGGGACTCTCCTGTAAAACCACCCTCCCAATTCTGTTCCCTGCTTATTTTTTGAGACAAGGTTTCTCTGTGTTGTGTGGTCTTGGTGTCTTGGATCTCAGTCTATAGGCCAAGCTGGCCTCGAGCTCAGAGATC